GACGTTTTATTAAAATTCAAAAAATTATTTGTTAGTGACACGACAAATGAAATTTACCGGCAAAATTTTATAAGTTTTTTCATTTTTGTCAACATTTAGTTTTATTTTAAACTAAATTAAGAAATGTAAGTAATAAAATAACCCGTTTCAATTCGTTAATAAATAACCACATAAACGAACACATACTTTTTTAAATAATAAAATTTTCTTTTTATTATAGAAAAAAAAAAATCAAAATATTTCAATTATTATAATCATCAATCGGCCCAATAGGAAGTTTATATTGAAATAAATTTCATTTTAATTTTTATTTTCTTATTTGTACGTAACACACACACACACGCATTATATAATTTAAATCACTCAAAAAAAAAAAGATTTTTTTTGTTGATAAAAGGTTGAAAAAAAATATTTAATTAAATAAATAAACATTTAAGGTTGAAAATAATTTTTATTGAGAACAGTTGATGATGTCACCATCAAACCGCGATTTTCCCGTAACCCAACAATTTTTTTGGATATAATTTTATTTAAGATATTTATTACATCATGACTGAACACATACAATTTAACAAAAAAAAAAAAAAATTATTATTATTATTTACTTTTATAATTTAAAAAAAAAAGTAAAATAAAAAAAAAAAAAAAAAAAAAATTTTTTACCAACGTGTATATATAAAACAAGAAGTTTTTTTTTTTTTTTTTTCTTGTTTTCCATTATAAAAAAAAAATTCCAAGCCTAATTAATTAATTGTTAAACTTTTAAAGTTTGCGTTCAATCCAATTATCGTCTAATTAACGAAATAATAATAATAATAATAATTCATATTTCATTTTAAACAGCATCTCTTCTCTTCTCTTCTCTCTTGTCTTACACAGTGACATTTTTCCTTTCCCTTCCTTCCTTTCCTTTTCTTTCCTTTCTTTAACCTTTTATTCGAAGAAGATACCGAAGATTTGTGTGTGTGTGTGTGTGTCCGTCCCATTGACAAAATCAAATCAAATCAAATGCAGTCATTTTAAAAAATTGACTTTTGTTATTCAAATTTTTTCCAGAGTTTTTCCCACCACTGAGATCATGATGATGATGATGATGATGATGATGATGATGATGTGAGAGATCATTACGATAAAGGCACGGTTCGATAGACAATGCAATTGTTGCTCGTGATCTCAATACAAATAATAATAATAATAATAATAATAATAAAATAACATAAAATACAATTTGTTTATAATAATGCACTTGTTATACATATGTAGTAAACATTATTTATTTATTTATTTTCATCACCGCCGCACTTCACATCAAAAGTTTTTGAGACTCCCCCCCAAATATTAGTTAAAGTTTAATTATTCCGTTCGAAATAAACCTAAAAAAAAAAATTACAGCAGAAAAAAAAAAAAAAAGAAAAAAACACATTTAGTCAATCTTTTTTCCTCCTCCCCCTCCCCCGCCTTTGATAAAACAATAAAAGTTTAATTATAACCTTTTTTATTATAAACAATATTTATTACGATGCATATGTATATATTTGTCATATATATATATATATATATATACATATTCATTTTTTTTCTCATGGAGTAGAGTTCATTTTTTGTGACGTAAACTATCCTTTGAGGCAGATCCTGGTGCACTGAAATACAACAATATACAAAAATTAACACAATTTTTTTTTTTTTTTTTTTTGCGATTGTGATATTTGATTTATTTATGAACCTACGTTGGAGGTTTACTGAGCGAGGGCAAATCAGCGGAAGCAGACGGGGAAGGTGCTGCGGCGGAACTACGATGAAGTCGCATGCTTACCCGTCGATCTTGAACTGATTCACCTTGAGCCAAAACACCTCGTGTTCTCGGTGAAACTAAAAACCAACGTAAATAATAATAATAATAATAAGGGAAAAGAAGAAAACAAAGGAGAAAACTAAAAACTCAAACTCGAACCTGTTGTTGGACTGGCAGTTGTTACGGGCGTAACGGGACCCGGTTGTTCAAATGGACGAGTTCTTGTGGGACCTTGGCCCTGATTTCCTGGACTTCCTCTTGGATATCTACGCTCTCTTTGCTCTTCTGGACCAACAATTTGACGGCTCGCACCCTGCTTATAAAAAAAAAATAACCTATAACGACTCATCGTTTCCTCTCATTTTCCTTTCCTCGCTTTAATCTCCCTCAAGGTGTAATTTAAGTAAAACACGCACATGCACGCACTCACGCACAATTTTTCCTTTTTCAAAATTATAACTTACAAACTTGAGCAGATTCCAGTCGAAAACGTAATCGTACGTAAAACCCTGCCGATGAAATAAATTTCGAAATAATCGTCGTATATACGCGTAATCCGGTTTCTCTTCAAATCGAAGAGATCTACAATAATTCAGGTACGTCGGAAACTCGGCTAAAAAATAAACAAAAAAAATTTAAAACATCGTAAAAGCAAAAAAAAAAAAAACCCAAATCGATCGAATTGAAAATGATTATCATTATAAATAAATCAATTACCAGGAAAACCTTTACATAAATCATCGATTGACGTCGACATTTTCTTTTCGCTAATCCTTTCGTATTTTTGTCTCTTCGTAGCAGCCTTTAAACCCTGCCAAGGCAACGCCCCTTTGTTAAAATACATTAATACATATCCTAATGATTCTAAATCGTCTCGCCTGCTTTGTTCTGCGTCAAGAGAAAAACAACAAAAAAAAAAAACCAATCGTGAGTGGATAAATTAAAAAAAAAAAAAAAGGTTAAAAAGAGAGAGAGAGAGAGAGAAAATTTATATATATATATATACTTGCCTACTCCTAAGTGAGTATTTATTGAAGCATAGCGAGCGGTTCCGGTTAAATTTTTATTTTCCCTGTACGGTATGTGCTGTTGCGTTCTTCCATCTTTAAATTTTTTCGCCAGTCCAAAATCAATTATATAGACTAGGTTACCTTTTTTACCAAGACCCATTAAAAAATTATCAGGCTTAATATCTCTGAAAAAAATCAAATCAAATCAAATTGTGCGTAACTCTCAATTCACGCACTCACGCACTCACGCACGCACACGCACATTACGTATATTATTTACGAACGGAGAAAAAAGTTTTTGTTTTAACTTCCTCCCCACCGCTGCCGCCATGCATCATCATTCGATGCAATAGTTTTAGTTATTAAATCTATTTTTTTTTTTTTTTTTTTTTTTTGGGAATGAATGAATGAATGAATTTTTTCATTCGTTCATTTCAACTGTACCTGTGTATAAAATTTCGACCGTGAATATAATCTATCCTAGATATTAATTGGTCGGCTAGTAAAAGAACTGTTTTCAGCGTGAACCTTCTCGAACAAAAATTGAAGAGATCTTCTAAGGAGGGACCCAACAATTCCATAACCATAACGTTGTAGTCTCCTTCGGACCCGCACCACTGGAAAAAATTTACAAAAAAAAAATAAAGAAAAAAACATTTTTTTTTTTTTTCAGCGGGTGGTAGGTATATAGATAAATAAATGAACGAGCGAGAGGTAAATGGGGGGGGGAGGGGGTGGGTAAAGGATCCAAAGGGGGGAATCGAAAAGAGAAAAACGAAAAACGGTTTCAAATACCTTAATGCAAGGTATTCCAACTCCTCCCTGCATCATT